CACTACAGTATGGACTGAGATATCAGGAACAGAGGAAGGGCCACTGGCTTAACCAATAGGGGGGAGCACATCCTTGGAAAGCCTTGGCCTATGTCCCCTTATCTCTCAGCCTCCACTCCCTTCCCTAAGTATCTCTCCTACTTTTTGGGGTGGAGTCTTAGACATTGAGGCCTGAGGCCTGGGGCCTCAGAAATAGGGCAGTATAGGACTGAAAGACAGGGGAGCTTTCTAGATCTCCCACCCCACCCAGGATTATTCCCTTAGTTGGTTTTGAAATAGGTGAAGTTTTTTCACTCCTTAGGTCCCCTTCTCTCCCCACCTATGACCTAAGGGCTCCATACCAATCTGCCACTCCTGCTTTCCCCAAACTCAGTTTCCATCTCTTCCCTGGGACCCCAGCTTCTAAGGGGTTTTGGGATCCTTACTGTAGGAAGGAAGAAACCTCAGCGAGTAGGGGGAGGCTGTCTGGCAGAGACAACAGGCATCCAATTAACTATAGTACTGGTAACAAGCTAATGATAATAATTAGCTGTCTCCCACCCAGACAGCAGGCTGTGTTGGCACCCTGCTGCTTGGGGAGGGGGAATCTAGGACAGGGATTGGGGGTGAGGTGGTGACACCTAGGTAACTCAGCTAGGGGACTGGAAGGGGAAGGCAAGGGGCCCAGTTGTCAGGGCACTTTGATCCTTGGCACACTCTGATGCCATATGCTTTGTCCTCCACCCAACTGGGGCTGCCAAGGACCCAGGAACTCTTTCTGGCCTAGCCCTGCTGCCCGATCTCCCAGATGGCTTGGTTCTAGGGGAAGGGGGAGAGGGGTGCCTCAATCTTGCCACTATTGCAGTTTTCATGGTAGAAGCTGGCAGGATATTATAATTTGTGCAAATTTTGTTGTGAATGTAGGGGAGGGAATGTTGCCTTTATTATTATTTTTTTCTTTCTTTTTTTTCTGCCTGTGTGTTTATATATACTTGAGTGCTTGAGTCCCTCCCTTGACTGGTATATGTGTCTGTGTGTACCTTGTGTGTCTGTGGGAGTCTTTGGGGATCTTGATGAATTGGTCCCTGATGGGCCTGAAGACTCAATGGGTGCTGGTATGCCCATGGTAGTTGAAGGCCTCCAGTTCAAGCCTGTGTCTTGTGCTCAACTATGATCTCAGCTGAGTAATGCATGAGCTTTGGACCCCAGGATCGGGGTGGGAGAAAGGATGGACGGGGGCCCAGGAGACTTCTGGGATCTGTCTGGTGCTCTGGGAAGCCAGGTGGTTCCCATCCCTGGGCCAGGTCCATCCCACCTATGATATTTTCATGAATGTATACGTGTACCTGTATGTGAGTCATCCATGTATATGTATGTGTGTCCATACGTGTCTTTGTGTAGGACCAGAGGGGAGGGGCAGCTTCCTGAGAGAGCTTAGTGCTTAGGGTCAGGACTGGGGAATTTCTGCCCCCATTTCATTATGTAGCCTTCCTCCTCCAGTGGAGGCCTCTAGCTTCCAGAGAGGGGGGATGGGGACAGGGTAGCCTTTGACCCTTCTGGCCCTCTGCTCTCCCCCCTTAGGAATCTGAGGCCAGGGTAGACAAGAGGACCCATTGTTGGGGCATCCCTACACTTCCTCTCTCCTTGGGGTGCCTGGGGGAGGGGAAGGAGCAAGAGCTTGAGCTGTTTAACCCTTTAGGTGGCAGGAGCCCCTGGATGCCCAGATGTGTGATGCCCATGTTGTACATGTATGTGGGTATCCAATGCCAATGTACCCCTTGGTAAAGCAGGACCAAGGTCTGCCTGAGCTCTCGGCACTTCCTCCCACCCACTTGGGCCTCTCCACCCTCTCCCTCTGCCCACTTGGCTCTCCCTTACTTCCCTTCCCATCTGTGTGTCAATCTCTGTCAATCTGTCTTTCATTAGACACATGCTGGGGTTCCCACCTTGTGGCATTCTCTGTGTCTCTCTGCCTGCTTGTACTTCTCTCTTCTTTCTTCTTGTCTGTCTCTAATGATCTGTCTTTGTCTTTCTCTACTTTTCTCTATCCATTAACCTTCCTCCCTGGCTCTGTCTTTTCTTTGTCTCTCTGCTTTCGCCAGTCTCTGCATCCTGATGTCATTATCTCTGTTGCTGTCCCTGCTTTGGCTCTCTCTCTCTGCTGGATGTTTGTCTCTCTACCTCTCCGGGGTATTCCCAGGCTTGCTTCTTTCTCTGCCTTCCCCGCGTCACCTCTTTCAGGGTCTTGGTTGTTCCCCCCTAGCTCTGCCTGCCCCCTACAATCACCCCTTTTCCCCTCTGCCCACCTAGCCTGACCCCTGGGGGTCTCTTCTCTGTTGTAGGTCTTTGTAGATTGGAAGGCAGAGCTTGAGGGGAAGAGAAGAATGGCAGAAGGGAAGCTAACTGGGCCCATCTTTCAGCTGTCCTGGGTTATAGTCTTGTGTGCCTTGGGGTGGGATTTCTCAAGAGCTTGAGGCCTAAGGCCTATCTCAAAGGTCACTGGTGGGATACAAGTGCCTTGGCAGGGACAGCTATTTTGGGGTCAAAGAAATGGTTATGGGACCAGGAAAGTGACAGATGGAGGAGAGGGATAGGAATAGCCAGGCTAGGCATCAGGACAGGGGACAGAAGAGGGCACACACTTGGCATTTGTGTTGGGCAGGAAAGGAAGGAAAGGATTTCTTTGGGAGAGTGGAAGATTAATGTCTGTCTCTGAAATTGGGTCCCCAAGAGGAAATGGGGAGATTTGATGCAGCGAAATGGGGGAGGGAAGGGAGAGACAGCAAGCCATGACTTCAAATAGAGGCATAAGACAAGAACTTGGAGCTAAAAAAAAAACCTCCCTTAAATCACAAGGAAAATAGGAAAAAGCCCAGAAAACCACAAAGATGGAAGTTAGGGAAAGAAATTGGGAAGAGACATGACCCCACCCTGGGGGAGCCCCCAGCCTGTGGGGGAGATGTGGTCCCCACCCTTGGGGAGCCCCCAGTTTTGAGGGGGAGACATGGTTCTCCACCTTGGCAATCCCCCGCACTGAGGGGGAGCCCTGGTCTGAGGGGGAAACATAGCCCCACCATTGGGGAGCCCCCAATTTGAGGGGGAGACATGGACCCTGACCTCAGGGAGCCCCTAGTCTGAGGGGAGACATGTCCCTACTCTCAGGGACCCCTTATATGAGGGGGATACCCAGTTGGGGGAGACAGCCCCACATTTGAGGAATCCCTAGTGTGATGGGAGGACATAGCACCAAGCTCAGGAAGCCTCCACTTTCAGTTGTAGCTCCCCTGGGTGGCCCCCATTCTGAAGGGGGAGATTATAGAGACGAACAGCAAACAATCCCTTCCCTCACTGACCTCCTTCTTCCTCTCTCTGGGGTTGTAGCACACATACACACACACACCTAGAAATTTTCCTGGCTTTATATATATTTGCTTGACATCTGCCTAACAAATCAGTCATTCCTCCCTGGGGGTGGGGTGGATGGGTGTGGTATTCTTCATGGCCTTGTTTAACCCTCCCTGAGATACTACCCTCCAACTCCCAGTGAGCCTTACGACTCCCCCCCGCCCATGCACTTATACCTCAGCCCAGAATGGGAACAAATGCTGTTAGCTGTCAAGAGTTGATATACTTCCATAACCCCAAATAATATTAGTCAGGATAAGGGAATATTGGCTCCCTTTTTTCCTGTCCCCCAACTTCCTCATGGCATTAAATCTGGTCTCCCCCACCCCGACCCTCTTTGTACCTGTTAAAGGACTTCACAGGGCCCTTAGGCAGGTGGGATAACAGCTCTAGGATCAGAACCCAGGTCCCTCAATCCATTTTCTGTCCTCACGGGATGTTGGGGGCAGCCCCAATGGAGGATGAGGAATCCCCTGGCTTCTAGATGGGTCCTTGCCTCCTAAAGGAAACAAAGGTCAGCCTGCATTTCTATCTCCCTGACAAACCTCAAATGGTTAACCTCTGGGCTTCCTTTCCCTCCTCCCCCCAGCCAGGACCACTTTAAGGAGAATGGTCCATTACAGGTGAGCTGCTGTTGTCATGGAGACTACAGCATCAGCACCACTCACCAGTGGTGAGGGGATGGAGGAGACTGTAGATAGGGGTGAGAGAGGGCTGTCCGAAGAGCTATGTATGCCCCATCAGGTCCCCATTGCGCTCTTCTCCCTTCCTTCTTCCTTTAATAAGAGAGGCCCAGGGGAGCGGGGAGGGCAGAGGTTTGAAGTCAAATGAGGGTCAGTCTGAGGCAGAGCAGGATATCTTTGGGGAAATGGGACAATGGGCTGAATGGGCTGAGTGGGAATTGGGCAGGGAATGGGGGGGGGGAAGAGCTCCAGATGCCTTTAAAGGGAATGGGGAAGGGCCAGGACAGGTTGGGGCCCCCTCCCCCGAGCTGCTCTGCATGTGTCTGGGGCCGAGGTCAGGCCACGGGGATTAGCCCCGCCCAGGTTGAACTCCCACAGTGCAGCCCCCAGGTAGGGCCATTTAAGGGTCTCGTGTTCTTCGCCATAGCCCACAGGCCCCCTGTTGAGCCCCCTCCTCCTTTCGGAATTATTTAAATAAGAGGGAAAGTGCTCCTAGCTCCCCTCTCTGCAGAGCTCTCTTAGCTCTGTCGCCATGGAAACTAGCCAGCCGCAGACTCTGGGAGGGGGGGAAATCTGTCTTAAAGGGACATGATATGTAGGTGCCCCCAGTAGACACACACCCAGAGAACACGCTGACACACATACTCATGCACTCAATGCCACATCCCTCTACATAATGTATCCACAGACATCCACATCCACTCTCCTCCTAGACACACACACACACACACACACACACACACACGCAAAGGCACGCAAGCACACACGCTCGCCCCCTCTGTGACTACAGGTACACACACGGGGGGAGGCACACGCAAGGCCACCCAAGTCAGATTCTTTCCCAGCCCCCCTAGAAGCCTCCTTTCCAGCAGAGGCTTGTGGGGCGGGGGAGGGGGAGGAGCAGACTGAGGAGGGAAGGGCTGGAGGTTCCTTCCTGGGTGTGTGTGTGTGTGTGTGTGTGTGTCTGTGTCTGTGTCTGTGTGTGTGTGTGTGTCGAGGGGGCGAGGGGAAGGGATCTAGTTCATTACCCCAGGGCTGAAGGAGGAGGGATTCAGGTCACCCCAGAGGACTAACTTCCTGGCAGTCTGGGGAATTCGGAGGGCATTGTATGGCCCAGGGGGATATTGTGAGCCCAGAAAAGGTCCTTTTACCTCCTGTCTCCCCCACCCCAGCCCTCATTTGGCTAAGCTGTCTAGCTAGAGAGGGGAGGGGTGATCGGGCACCTCCCAGAAACTCCGAGCTGGAAGGGACCTCAGAATCCTGAGGGCCAAACCTCTCCTTTATTGGGGAAGCATTGCACCAAGTCACTAGGCAGTAAATGGAACCACTACAATTTGAACCCAGGGCTTTGGATTCCAAATCCTGGCCTATTTCGAACACCTGCTGGATTGTATCAACGCCTCAATTTGCCTTCTAACAGCCTCAGGGCCCTCAGCTGGAGCTGTGCATTTTTTGCCCTGAGCCCTACCCTAAGGGGAACAGCCTGTGTGGATGTGACCCCCACCTTCTCCCCTTCCTCACAGATGAATGCCCTTTGACTGCTCCAGTCAAATGCTTCATTAATCCTGGAGCTTGGGGGAGAGGAGGGAAGGGGAGGTTTTCTTGTCTAGAGATAGGAGGGAGATGGGGAAAGGGAGGCCCAGTTCCCTAAAAATTTTCTCCTGGGAATTCCTGCATGGCCTGGCATGTCAGGGTAGGGCTGTTGGCTTGTGGTTGCCTACAAATAAATGTGCTTACACACATGGGTATGAGACACTAGACGTGTCTAGTGAGACATACTTATTGTATAGATCTCAGGGCTCAGAGGGCCCTTAGAAACCACCTAGTCCAACCTCCCCCCCCCATTTTACAGATGAGGAAACTGAGGCTCAGAGAGGGGGAGTGACTTATCCAAGATCACCAGGTGAGTTAGTGGGAAAGCTGGGGCTAGAGCCCAGGGCTCCTGACTCCCAGGCCAGGGGTTTCTTGATTACATCACCCATATTGTACACACATATCTTTTATACTCCCAGCATGGATACGCACCCTGATCAAATA